AAAAAAAAAAAAAAAACAAAAAACAAAAAACAAATCATTATAAAACAAAATATAATAAAAACTGTGAACACTGCAGAGAAAAGGTGTGTAATGAAAAGCTTAATTCAAGAAAATGAATGAACTTTTGACTGCATTCATTTTGAAAAGTGAAAAAAATAAGCAATACTATTGTAAAATGCAGTTATATATTTATATAATTAAGGGAAAAGATTATTCAGGCATTAACTTTTTTTAGATGTGCTGTAGTTGAGTTACTCTTTTTTGTTTTTTATTCTTTATTAATACATATTTATAGTTCATAATGATTATATTCCTACTGGGGAGTTAGTACAAATACATAACATATCTCAATTATTTTTTAACCCCTTTCCCTTCCTTTCTCCCTCCATCTCTTGATCCCTTTCCCATTTGATAAATATTTATCTCTGTCTCCTATCATCTATCCTTCATTCTCTCTACTTAAATTTTTATATTTATATTTTATTTATATGTAATATTTAAGCTTGTGTGTGATTTATTTCACTTAATATGGTCTCAAGATGAATCCAATTTCTTACAAATGACTCAAGATTATCCTTCTTTCTGTCTGAATAGTATTCTATGCAAACACCACATTTTCTCCATTCATCTGTTGATGGACACGTAGGCTGCTTGCAAGATTCAGCTATTATGAATTATGCTGCTATAAACATGGATGTACATGTATCACTGTATTATGATGTGCATCACTGTATTATGATGTCTGTAACTCTTGTGGGAAAATATTTAGAGAATAGATGGGAATTTCTAGTTTTAATTTTTTTGAGGAATGTCCACACTGAATTCCACAGTGCTTGTAATAGTTTACATTCCTATGAACAGTGTAGCCTCACCAGCATCATTTGATGGAATAGAACAGAGGATTCTGAAAAATCCTCAGGAACATTCACCTATCTGATCTTTAACAAACAGGCCAAAAACATACTCTGAGGGAAAGAAAGCCTCTTTAATAAATGGTGCTAGGGAAATAGGTTATTCACATGCAGAAGATCGAAGCTAGACCCATGTCTCTCACCACACACTAAACTAAAATAAAAATATGTCAAGGATCTAAATTTTAAGACAGAAATAATATGCTAAAAGAGATTTTTTAAAAAAGTAAAACTCTTGAAGTCATAGTCATAGGTAAGGACGCTCTGAACAGAACTCTAGTCGTATAGGAAATAATACCAAGAATTAACAAATGGGATTCTATCAAATTAAGAAGTTTCTGCACAGCAAAAGTAACAACCAACAAAGTGAAGACACAATCTACAGAATCAGAAACACTTTGGCAAGCTATTTCTCAGACAGAGGAGTAATATCTAGAATATATAATGAACTAAAAAATTAGAATCACCAAAATAAAAGACTCATTCAAAAATGGACAAGTGAAATGAATAGGCACATCACAGAAGTACTAGCTATTACAGAAAGGCGCTTCCTCTTTTAATAAAACAAGTTTAGAAAAGACTGTTGAGTGATACACACAATGTATTCTCAAGTTTCACACACAAATTAATCAGAAAAGATATGGCTGAGAATTCATTGGGCAAATTACTGGAAAAGAGTAATTTATTTGTGGTACTTTCTATTGTACACACTTAAATAATATATCCCATTGAGAAATTTATTTGTGGCATCCTTGAGAATTTTGATATAATAGAACTTTTGAATATAGTGCCTGTGTCTTAATTTTCAAATAGATTGGTGAAAAGACTTTAAGTGTGACTACAGAAGATATTTCTGCAATGATTAGTGTTAATATAAGACTTAATTTGAAACTTAATTCCAAAGTT